TTAATCATCATTTAAAGCCAAAGCTCTATAAAAAGATTGACTAAGTCGAAATGGTGATGTAAATGCTTTTTCATTTCTCCTCCGGGAACAGAGGCGGGAGTAAGAGTATAGTTGCACGTTTTGTCCGCCCGTCCTTCCGTTAATGTGTCCGGGCTCTATTGGCATGTGTTAAATAAGGTCGCTCTAGCCTACTGTTTGACCTAGATCAAAGGAAAAGTTTATTTTAACAATATAATTTTACAGTCGGTGATATACTGTCATTTGCCGAATTTTCTTATACCTTGACATTAAGGAGTACAGATGCATCCAGCAAAGCAAGTCGTTAGGAGAAGTTGTACTCTTGCATTTTCTTAAAGGTCGTGTCTACACTTGTTGTTATGTTGTTACCTTATTATTGTTCTGTTATCGCTATTTTGTTACAGTTACTAAAAGAGACGATGTGGAGTTTACACCAAACAAAGAGATGACAAGGAAGCGAACTTTTACCATCACTCCCACAACAGGAAGAGTATGAAATGATGAGTCGGGGAAAACGGAGGTACAAACAGGGTGACGAGAAAAGAAGAAATGATACGCCGGGGCAAATGAAGGCACCTAATGCATGACAACATGTTGTGATATCTCTGTAACCAACTAATCAAATGTTTCTGCATTATCAATGAAACATTGTGAACTGTTTTAATTTGTTTCCTATCTTAATTTCTTCACCACATTTAAACCAAGGAGGAAGGCCAGAGTTGAGGACTTCTGGTATCTTCCCTCAGCTTTATGATATTACAGTTACTTAAATCCAACTCTCAAACATAATTTCTTACTTTTTTCGCAATTACTGCCATGCAGGCTGTTTTCTTTCTTGCATTTGAATTTTGATATAGAATTGTTCATTTTAAACTTAGTTTTGTCAAATTATGTCAATGTTTTTGGATGTTAATTCTGATTCACACTATTTCCTTTTTTATTCATAAATTAATAAAAAGTCATTTGAAAATCATGCTCTTCAATTTCACACCTGACTTGAACATGAAGAAATAAACATGATGCTCAGCAATCACTAACTGTTCTAATGCAAAACTAACCAGTAGATATAATTTTAAAAAGCTGTAAGAAAATATCGTAGTATACCATTTTTAAGAGTCTTCAATGTTTTTAATGAATCCTATGCATAGGAAAACTTGTTTAATTGTTTTAGTATCAAAATATATATTTTTAAGACTGATTGACATTTTTGACTATACATTGTTTAGTATCAACTTTATTTTCAATTTTAATTTAAAGAACTATTAGAATGACAACTTAGCATAATAATTTAATGACTGATTTAAAATTAATGGCAAAAACTCATCTGTAACATAAATGTCGTAAACTTCCAGGTTATCCTTACAGACCTTACAACAGTCCCATTGTCATTTATTTAGTTAATATTTAGTAGTTGTTATGTAAACATTGCCAATGGAATTCTTTACATTTTCTGTTTCCAACAGATGTTTTTAATGTTTTCCCTATGGTTTTCTAATTCAAAAATCATATTCATATAATTATTGCCAGTTTTGTTGTGAACTAGGTTTTTTTTATTTTGTTTTTGTGGTTTTTTTTGTTTGTTTTTTTTTTGTTCTATATTGATATTTAGAATTTGAGAATCAAGCTGGACGTATTTGATGCTCATTAATTTGCAAGTTGGTTCCGTTGTTATATACCTTGTTCTCATTTGAGAACGTGACATTACTTACTTGGATTGACCAAGGTTTACATGGCGGGTGTCGTCGATGAAGCAGGAGATTTACTCTTCCAAAACACCAGGTCTTCTTCTCATTGTACTTTTTCAGAAGCATTCGTGATAATTTTCTTTTGTTCATATTTTAGCCTAATGCATTTTTGTTTGAATTATGATTATATTACCGTATTGGTATGTTCTCATTCTTTATTCTATTTTATTTTTTTATGTTTTCATTACATGATAATTTTCATCTTATGTTAGATCATTTTTTGTTTGTTTTTTTATTACATAATAATTTTCAATTTGTGCAAGATCGTTAGTCCTTAGACTTGTTCCTCAGTTCAAAGATATTACTTATTTAATTCTCGGGATATCCAATCTTTTTTTATCTTTAATTTTTGTTGTAATATAAGTGGTGATAAAAATTGTTTGTTTGGTTCATTCTGTATATCCATTAACGCAGTCATAACAGTTTTAGTCCAATTCTTAAAGGATTTCTTTTGAAGACTATTTCATCATTTTCGAAAAAATATTTGTTGTTAATATCCCCTTGCAACAATGAATCACATAAACGACTTTTTAATAATGCTTTATATGTAATTGCGATTTATATGATTTTGGTATTTGAGATATGTCAAGAGATTTTGTAATAAGAATGAAACCAATTAAAAAAATGTTGATATCACATTTCTGTAGCCAATATCTGCCAAAGGCATTACAGATTTGTAACTCCGTGTTAATCATTTTATATGTGCTATATACTTCCTTGCCTGCTGATCAATATCTGTAATGTTCAATCCTTTGATATATCTCTGTAACATGTTTGGAAACATTATTAACCTTTATTTTCCTTTCCAAAAGTTTGTTTATTAACTGTACTTAAAAGTTATCTATGCCTGAGTCATCTCGTATGCAATTTTCGATAATATAAAGGATTTAATTATTGTTATTTTACCTTACAGAGTAAGGTTTCCCTAGCAACATCTCAAGTACTTTTACTTCCTAAAGTAAGTCATGGTCAGTGTTATGCCCATGAGTTATCCTTAATGTTTTCTATCCATTTTACCCTTTGTGATCATTGAACTATGTACATTACCTTGGTTTTCTGATAATTAAGTTTTGTTCCAGCATATTATAACATTTGCTTAGAGTTGATAAGTTTAAAAGATTTCTTTTCTGTAACTACAAATAATTGGAAGTCATCTGCAAACATGCTTACTTAAGCTACAATGTTTCCACTGTTTAAACATGAAACACTTATACCAGATACGGTTTTATTTTTAAGTATGACACAGGCTAAGGGCTCCGTTTGTATGAAATAGATCAACCTGCGAGTGGTCAGCCTTGTTTTACTGAGCGGCTCATCTAAAACAACTTTGAAAGAAACCATTTGCTAATATTTGACTATCAAGAATTGATGTATGCCATTCCGATCCATCAAATCATATTGCCACCAAAACCAAATTTCTCTAAATACCTTTGAATCCATTTTTATTCAACTGCGTCGAAGATCTTCTCCATTCCACCCATTTTCCAATACCCTGATCCATTCACATTATTTAAAAAGTTTTATAATCAATCATGATATTTTACATATTTAGTTTCGATAGGGGCAGAAAACCAACAACATAATAAATTAACACCAGCTGCTTTAACAAACTTTTATTTAAGAAATAAAAAAATTGTTTAAAAAAAATTAATAACACAATTTGGTCCCTACACAATGAAAGGCACTTTTAAACCTTGTGCATCGATTAATGTTTTACGGTTCGTCATTTCCAGCTACTGGATAAGAAGATGTTGCACGATTCATACTACATTGTATATTGACAATAGTAATTATAAAATATGTCACCTTAATTCAATATTTGATCATTCTTTCAAATACAGTTTTATATATAATGAACAAGAAAAGACAAATGATTTTTGGAAACAGCGTGTCTGTTTTTAGATAAATTTGATAACTGCTTATTGACAGTAGATTGAATTATATATAAATCATTAACATATCTACACCGAAGAGACACTATAGTCAACTGACCAATTCGAAACAGGCTTAACACATTACTAAAATTAAGCGTTCCTGTATTTGAAGATAATTCTGGTATTCGTAGATATTGTTCACTGTGATCAGTTTATTGCTTGGAGAAGCAAGTGCTAACACTATCTACCATCAACAGGGCCTGACTTAATTAAGCGAGTTTGATTTTCTTGTGAAAATTATACTAAAACAAGCAGGAATTATCACATGTCATTTAATCGTTATTTCGACGATTGACATGCTGTATTAAGTTTCCATACATTACGAATAAAGACTTGTACGTGCAATTGTAAGACGTAGATACTGAGATTCAAGATCTAAGTGAAAGGTTGTCGAAATGTTGACCATTGTCAAACGCTTGGTTATATAATTATAGGTTCTATGATTATCAATATAAATATTTCATCGATACATGGGCATGATTAATTGATTATCAGATCAGGTGACATAATTAATATAAAAAATCATTGCAGAAACACATAATACTGAAAAGACATTAAATCATGTTGCAATACAGTGGCAGAATTTCTAAACGTATTGAATACTTCAACATTGAATAACACAGACAATTCTGTCTAATGTCGGTCCATACTTATACCTTTATACATCACTTTACACGTATCAGTTAAATTTTAAAGGCAAAATCACTTCACATTCCAACATATTTTATTGGTTTTTAAATCAATTCCTAAAGAGGGTTACATTTTTCCTGGTGACATTAGCGTGAAAATTGTACAGGAAATACATATATTATATATAAACAGTGTCTACATTCACAGGTAACATGCATACTTCAGGCCTAAAATTTAAATGTTCTGCAATTTATAAAATATTTATGATTATTTCGAGACTTAGACATTGTCAATGTAATGTTATCAACTTTTAATAATTACACGTTTTAATGTTAGCTTTATTTATAATAATGGAGTGTTCCTTAACCCCGATCTGCAGAAACGCGTCGTCGAAAAAAGAGGTGTGACTCTCACAAGACCCGTAGTTATGGAAAAAGACTTAACTTTCATATTAATAGTGTTTTAAATACGAACATTAATTCATTTCGATTACGAGTCTGAAGATGACGTTCTCCTGTTTGAGAGCGTTTTTTTCAAGATGTATAAACAGGTCATGGATCTAAGGCTGTATTTATTTTCGTCATATCACAGTGCTAGCAAAGTTGTAAAACATCTAAAACATAACAATTTTTTTTTTATTTATTTTTGTTTTTGTTTTTTGTTTTTGTTTTTTTTTTTTTTTTTTTTTGTGGATTTATAAAGAAAAGCGAGCAGAAATTGTAAGCTGTTGATAGACTCAGATTTAAAGCAAAAACTGCTTTTAATTTGTGAGCACTCGCCGTTTTCCATGGCGAGATTTGAATCCCTGTTCACATGTACTTTCATTTCCCTTGTTACATTTCTTCTATCTTCGTTTTCAGCTCAAGCAATTAATGAAATGAAAATAAATCTATACTCGTTTTTTTATTCCTCTTCTTGCAATGAGGTGATCCATTGCCGTCTTGACATGCAAGAATAACATATATCACTATTCAATAGACTCACCTAATGTTCGAGAAAAAAGTCTGACGTACTCGCACTGGCACTCGAACAAATGTCTCAAGCTGTGTTGTAGGATCCCCATTTATGTCGATACAGCAGATATTTTAATTCATACAATAAGTTGTTGCATTCTAGTTTCCTTCTTGGAATTGGCGTTTTGCATGCAAAACTGGAGTGTCGTCTGAAACACTAGTCTGGCGTGAGATTCTTGCCTTCCTTCTCCTTCGCTCCCTTGTCTGCTCGATCTCTTTTGTATTTTCAACCACAGGGACATTATCTTCCGTATCAGAATCTTCATTAAACAAAAAAAAAATAGAATCAGAAGTAACAATTAGATGTGACAATTAAATAAGCATCAAGAGTTAGTAGCAAATTAGTAATATAAATACAAAGTTGATTGGCCATTTGTATCAACATCAACAATCAATAAGATCAAAACTCGTCGCCACAATTATCAGTACAGAGGAGTGAGTGGAACTCACTAGCAACGAATTAGTGAGAGACAGTTAACCACACGGCAATTAATTCTTTACTTCATTCTAATAAAGACTGAACAAGATAGCACAATTCTATATGTATGTTAATTTAACAATAACAGGCATTAAGTCCATTCCACTGATATTTTGATGTAGATCATCTTTTACTGTGGATGTTTGAAGTATAGTTTGGCATCATCCACAAATACAATGGTTACATAATCAACAGGTTCAATTTCTATTTTTTTCTTCATAGTTCCATACAAATGAAAGTATTGAATTGATAGTCTGAATTTTCTGCGAGTTTTGCAGGACAAACAAAACCTCATCACTTCTCTCTTCCTTCACCGAAATACTGCTTATGTATATATAAAGTCACTGGTCATGTCTGCTCTATAAATCCTTACAGAATTTTCGTGGATTAAATATGGTAAGGCGGTTTTTTGTGTTTCAAGTTTAATGCGCATGATTTCCATAAGGACAAAAGAATATCAAAATTGAATATCACATCCATAGGAAAACCCACATGCAAATTTGTTGGAAATATATACCATTCTCTCAATGAATTATTCGAAAGTCTGGCTAAAGGATGAAAAAAAATGCACATGTAAACTGAATTCTCTTGAAATCTACTGACACTTAGCAAAGAAACCAATTATCAGTGAAGATCCCGATAAATTATGCGAAAGGACAGCGAATGACATTGGTAGTCGAACTAAAATTGAAAGATAGTGAGATATGCCTGTAAACAAAAATTGATTGAAATCTATTTATAGCAAACGAAGTTATCAACGAATATCAAATGGCCGATCAGAAACCAGAAACCTTATAAGATATGTCATCAGACCTCATAGTAATACACATTTAAACCGTATCGAAATCATAATGGCGAAGTTATCACAGACAGACGGACACCTTGACTGAGAGCTCCCTTTTTTCTTGAAAAGCAGAGGATAACAGAAGTACGTGTTAAATTAGTTCAGGAAATACCCTAATAGATTATCAGACATATTGAATCGCTGGTTTGAACAATTAGGTAGAGTGGTAGGTGTACATGAGCTTTAAAAGCATTGGTTGTACAAAAAACGGTACCATTGACCTATACCAGATAAAAGGGACAAAATAAGTAAAAGTTGCTGAATAGTGGAACAAATTAGAGTAACTGCGTGGAGGAACAACAGATCTATCACTGACAAGTCCTAGAAAGATGAAATAGCTGTATGACGAAGTTATTTGTCTTTGGCTCTACTTATCTAGCTCTATAAATATGTATTAGAAGTTGCTGTTCTCTTGTGTCTTTCGTACAATCTATTTGATTTCTGAAATCAAAAAAGTAATATGAAAACATATACTTGTATTGTCTGCTCATAACCTGATTTGATCCCGAAAGATCAGTTACGGTAAGGATTGAAAAATACGCCAACAAAAAATAAATATAATTGTTCTTTTTCCAATCAAAGGACGTTACCTTCTTCCAAAATGGTTTCCGCTTCACCCATTTTCAGCAAATTTCTCTTTTTCACACTCAATTCCACTTTTTGTAGTTGTTCGGTGGCAGAGATAATTCCTTCCTTGTCCATGCTGTATTCTAGTGACGCTGACTCCATACTCGATCCTTGCCAAGCCCTGCGCCTCTCTGCTCCATTGTGAAGCAAATTGTCTTGTAAAATCTTCATATCTTCTGGCATCTCGATGCTTTGACGTGGTAATAGTTCCAGTTTACCAAATACATCCATTTCTTGAGAACTTGATTGTCGCCGAATTGGAGGATTGTGTGTTTTTCTCTCCATATTCTCTTCGTTGGGCTCAGTTTGATGTTCATGAGTGACCAAATCTTCATAGCACACATTTTTGTTTGATAATGACGATTCAACGTCTTCAGTGTCATCTTCTTCATCTACTTCCATCCTCGTGGAGAGATCCACATCGGGAACATCAACAGACATTCCTGAATCAGGCATATTTTCCATTGGTTGCGTATTTTTAAAATAGGACCCATCCAAGATACTGGTGAAATCAACGACTCGTTGTTTTTCATCAAACAAATCAGATGGGATTTTATCCTTAACCAACATATACTGCTTCTGTTGTTTAAGTGGATTGTATTCATCACTGTCATCGTCTGAGGAAGAAGAGGATTCCGGCAACTCGATGTCAGAATCATCTGACCCCGCATTAGCTGGCATAAGAGTGGCTCCCCTTGAGTTTATCAAAGCATACAGCTCATTCTGTGTTAAGCGAGGCTTTGTCGTTGTTTTTATGCTCCGCCTTCTATCAATATCTTTCTGGTAAACTCCATCTTCAAATTTCTACAAGACACAAGAATTTGATTTATAAAGTATGCAAATACCGGCATACAAACATTTATGATTTTCATTATTCAGTTTCAAGCTGCAAGCATCTATCGTCTGCAACATTTTCTAGTTCCTGTCTGCCAATATCGCCCAGTTGTTTACTGTCTGGTATTATCGTTCAGGATTTTATCTGCAACTCTTTTCAAAGGAGACAAAAGTCACTCTATACTTTGAGCTTACAACGTTGAAACTAGATAGAACTTTTCGTTAAAATACAAACCTGAATTTTTTTCAGAAGTTTCTGCAGCTGCTTCCACTCCTGAAGCGATACCAGAACTTTGAAGATAAGTTCTTTGACTTCTGGGTACAATCTGTGAGTGATTGGTAGACCTCCCCAAGTAATGAAGTCAACGACCTCATCACATCGTGTCTTTGCCTCAAACATCGTGTTGATTGCTGTCACTAGAAAGGATAGTCACAACTGTTATTAACATTAATAAGCCACGTGTCTTTAGAAGAGACTTTTAGATCAATTTTATGTTCATTTCACGAATTACATATCATACTTTCGATTAAGTCATAAACCAAACTAGATAAGATCATCTTTCTTTTTTATGCGACCAGCAGTATTTACCCCTATTATTCCGATGGAATAAGCAGACGGCCTTCTGGTACCGAACTTTGGCCATCTTGAAGGTAACCAATGTGAGTTGTAAATGCGGTGGACTCATTAATTTCCGCCTCAACATCATCGCATCTTCAACATCCTTTTCTGCTTTCTCAAAATTTTCCAGTGCAGCATGTGCTTCCCCTCTATTATGAAGAATCTGAGCATGTCCGTCCTGTTTGTGAAGGTTCATCTGAAAGCTGAGTTTTATTCCATTATCATAGTACTGAATGGCTTCTTGGTATTTTGATTTTGCTTCCTCTGTTTTTCCAGATTTAGAAAGAACTTGGCCTTCTTTGAACAGACATGTTCCCAAGTTTTGTATATACCCAGGAACTTCAACATTGAACCATTTTTGGGAACATTTTGTGATTAATTTTAATGCTCTCTGATGGTATTCACGAGCCTTCTCTAAATTTGCCTCACTTTGCCTAAGGTGAGCCACACCCAAAGCATTGAAAATCTTAGCCAGGTATGCTTGATAGTCTTTCTTCATACCTCTGATTCTAAACATATGCGATGCCTGTTTAAGGCATTCAATTGATTCTTCACATTGATATTCTCGGAGGAAAAGCCTGCCTTTAGCATAGAAGAAACTGCCAATGACAGCAGCCATTGCAAATTCCTCTCCTCTTACTTTGTGCAGTAAAACGTCAGCATCTTCCAATATGGTTTTTGCTTCCTGATTTCTATCCATGTCCATCACCATAGTGGCCTGGTAGACTCTCCAGAAGATATATTCTAGCTGGCTCGTCTCCTTACCCTTTGTTTTAGCGATAAAGTTTTTCACAAGGCCCCATCTTGTATCATCATAAAGAAGTTCATCGGATATTTCAGAAATTCTTCTACTCTCCACTATAGTTTGGAAGTTGTCCGTTGTTTCAGAAGCATCTGGTCCTGCCAAGATCTCATAGAAATTCGATACATGGACACGGTCAATTCCTAATTTCCTTTGACCTTGCAAACAGTTTATCTCCATTTCCTCTGCAATCTTACAAACGACCCTTCGAAAATGTTGTACAAACTTATATTTAGCAATCTTCATGGCTTGAAGGAAAGGTTGAGACTGTGCTTTACTCTTTAAGAGATGAAATACAAGAGGATGAAGAGAAAATCTGGTCTCCACTCTCCCAGGATGATCAGAATAAGAAGCTTCAGTTGACTCTAGAAGATGTCGAGATCGCAGGTTAAATAATTTCAGTGATGTTTGTTCGCCCCGCAAACTGGTTTCACCAAGGACAGTTGCAGCTGCTTCTAGGTCAAATGAAGCAGTGTGAAATATGGACAGTCGAACCAGATACTGTTTTTCTTTGTCTCCAAGTAAATCAAAAGTCTTTTCTAGGCACTGGGTGACAGCAGCAGTCTCTTCTATAGACCCGAACCGTGATTCTGGTTTCAGGTTTTCAATGATGGTATATGGGTTGAGGAGACCATAGCGAATTGAACCACATAATGTAGTTATGGCCAAAGGGCTATATCCACAAAGCTTCAATATCTTCTCTATCTTTGAGCTTTCTACTTTTTTCTGCAACATATAAAACTTCAATAAAAAAACTTACAGAGCGGACATGCACTGTAGAGGCATAAGCATTTTTGTGGTACCATACTAGCTTTAAAAACAACGAATGTAATTGTGCTATGCAGAAGTTTACACAAATCCAGAGCTATAAAACAAAATATTTGATCCCAAAGCAAATGTTGCTGAGTAGAAATAGGGCTGACCCTTGTTTCATTCTTGGCTTCAAGCCATAAACGGACCAATTACTTTTTAGTCGAAATGACACAAAATGTTTTTTTCTTGTTTGATCGTACAACTTATTCTAAGGTCTAGTGAATTATATTTATCAGTAGCAAGGTCAAATGAATTACCATGACTAATTTAATTTGTCACAGGATCCAGATACTTTGAGAAGTTAGAGATCTTCAGAACAAAAGACCAATGGGCCTGAACGGTCACCTGAATGACCTCAATTGAACATGTAGTGGAACTCGTCAAAGATGATATTGATTTAAGCTGCATACAAAATCTATCAAAACCTGAAAGTGTTAACTTACATTATTGTGTTCACAAGATTACAAAAAGCCATAACTCTGTAAGTAACATCAAATCGGTCGCATTGTTGAACTTGTCTTAGATCTTAATAATATAAGGCTGCATACTAAATCATACTTCATAGTCCATATTCATAGTAACTCAAAACTCATCTTTACAAGGTTCAATAGTTATAAAACTGCAAGGGCCACCGCTAATCAAATAACCTTGGAACCAGACCCTTTGTCAAACTCATCCCAGATTTTACCTACTTTTTATTGATGTAAGGCGACATACCAAATGTCATCAAAATGTGTTCATATTCCCCAAAATTATCGTATTATAAAGGTTCAATATCAGTAAAAGAGCAAAGGATCATAAGTCTTTTAATAAAGATCAAATAAGTGCCAATGTCCAATTCATCTGAGACTTAACATAAGGCTGCACACCAAGTTTAATTGCAATTGATCAATATTTTCTCAAGTCATCATTTTCGGTAGCTCCGAAGTAATACAATTGACCATAACTGTGAAGTTATCTTGTTCAGTAAAAAAAAACCTTAAAGCATGCCACAAGACAATGGATGTAGAATGAATATAATAGGTCACCATGACCTATGGTATGATGACCTTACAACTACAAGGTCTAGAAAAGCTAGGCTAGGATGAATAATTGCCACATGTGATCAAACAAAAGAAGCAGGTAATTATACTTCTCCTGTAACACGCAGGTGTGCATTACCTTCACCTGTAACTGACAGTTGTGATTTACTTCACCCATAATGGGCAGGTGTTAATTACCTTCACCTGTAACTGCAGTTGTGATTTACTTCACCCATAATGGGCAGGTGTTAATTACCTTCACCTGTAACTGGCAGTTGTGATTTACTTCACCCATAATGGGCAGGTGTTAATTACCTTCACCTGTAACTGCAGTTGTGATTTACTTCACCCATAATGGGCAGGTGTTAATTACCTTCACCTGGGCAGTTGTGCATTACATTCACCCATAATGGGCAGGTGTTAATTACCTTCACCTGTAACTGGCAGTTGTGATTTACCTTCACCTGTAACTGGCAGTTGTGCATTACATTCACCTGTAATTGGCAGGTGTGATTTACCTTCACCTGTAACTGGCAGGTGTGATTTACCTTCACTTTTAACGAGCAGGTGTTAATTACCTACATCTGTAACTGGCAGGTGTGATTTACCTTCACTTTTAATTGGCAGATGTGAATTACCTTCACCTGTAACTGGCAGGTGTGATTTACCTTCACTTTTAACTGGCAGGTGTGAATTACCTTCACTTTTAACTGGCAGGTGTTAATTACCTTCACCTGTAACTGGCAGGTGTGATTTACCTTCACTTTTAACTGGCAGGTGTTAATTACCTTCACCTGTAACTGGCAGTTGTGAATTACCTTCACCTGTAACTGGCAGTGGTGAATTACCTTCACCTGTAACTGGCAGGTGTGATTTACCTTCACTTTTAACTGGCAGGTGTGATTTACCTTCACTTTTAACTAGCAGGTGTGACTTACCTTCACTTTTAACTGGTAGGTGTTAATTACCTTCACCTGTAAGTGGCAGGTGTGATTTACCTTCACTTTTAACTGGCAGGTGTTAATCACCTACATCTGTTACTTGCAGGTTTTAGTTATCTACACCTGTTACTTGCAGGTGTGAATTCACTTCACTCTGTGACAGAGGTCAAATAGGCAGTAAAATTGCTACATGAACAATAACATGCTAAACAGTAGAACAAGTAACCTTTACCAACTTTGCAGCTAAAATGAGACAAAATCTTTTAGGTCTTGTCAAGTTGATCCATAAAATAATAGTGTGATGGTGTTTAGTATACAATATCAGCTAACTTGCTATATAGACTATTAAAATACATTAAATTGTGACATATCTTGATGTGACAATGGTGAGATTAGATGCCCTGTATGCCAGATGAAATTTGCTCAAGATATCTTTACTTTAGAAATATATCAACATGCTAAGATATGATTGTGCATTGTTATCGTATAAAATGAATAGATGAAATAATATGACACAGAGGTTTGCAAAAATCATGTCATTATTTCCAATAATATTTCTTGATTAAGTCATCGTTATATGGTAATCCTAGTTTGACTTCTTTGTTATCCACATGTGTTGTCATGGAGAAAAATGGGCCGTCAAAGATGGTTCCTCAATTATGACAAAATTGAAATATAAAAAATAACGGTAAGAGAGTGATGGTTCTTGTGCACTGCACTTCTCCTTGTTGAGATCTATCTGCTAGGAAGTTATATGTTGATACCTCTTATAGTTTAGTGTCATGCTCCAGACAAAATTTAAGTATGGAAAGTAGCAAAGGGCAATAACTCCTAAATTATACAAAAGAGAGTGATGGTTCTAGTGCATTGCACTTCTCCTTGTTGTGATCTATCTACCTATGAAGTTTTATGTTGATACCTCTTATAGATTTTGTGTCATGTTCCAGACAAAATTATGACAGATGGACAAACAGATGGACGGACAAATGGACGGACAACTGGACTGACAAATGGACTGACAAAGTGGCGACTATATGTTCTCCCTTCATGGAGCATAAGAAAATGGTTGTTTAATAAAAAAGAACTTTTTCATTCACCTCACATGATGTCAAACTCATGGAAATTAGAATAAAAGATTACCCCACAAATAGATCTTCTAAAGAGTTCATGAGCATCACTTGGTTCCATGGGAGACAATTCTTTTTCCAATATCACACCAATACCACTGTCCTGTCGCGATGGTAAGGACCTATTGCCAGTCCTTCCCTTGACCAGCTTTGACAGCTTCACACGGGATGTCAACAGCAAACGCATCTGGAAAGTACATTATCAACAAATAGTATAGTATGATAAAAAAAACAGCAGCAAAGGGCTATGACCAGGGTTTGTTGTTACAATAGAAAAATTGGGGTATTTTAGAAGTTTTAAACAGGGTTGTTTTACAACAGCAAAAATTGAGTTGTGTAGGGGCTACGAAGAGGATTTGATTTTTCACAATAGCAAAAGCTGAGTAGATGTAGCTTTTCTAAACAGGGCTTGTTGTTACAATAGCAGAAAATTTCTGTCTTTGATAAACTCAAGTAATTTGATATGGCCAACTTTTAATCAAAAGCATAAAAAATCACCAAGTTGAACCAACTAGAGCTAACATTCAATCCTAAAAGATTGTTACCATATGTCACACATGTCCCTAATTATTATGAACACCTTCTCTAAAACTTGTTTATGGAATACCTGGGTAAGATTTTTAACAGTGTTTCATAAGAAGAATCCCCCATTGGGAGAAAGAAGAGAAAGTTGTCATAGTAAACTCCTTCTTACTTTGTAATCGTCATCTTCCTGCAGGAGTTCACCAAACTTGGATAGAAATCCCTCCTTGAACCTGTCTGTGCCCTCATTATTAATGATATCCTCAATATTGTCCAGCATTAGAATGCTCCCTAATAAAAGATATATGCTTATAAACTGCACCTGTTAAAACTGGTAAACAATGTTTTTCCTTCTCTTTAAATCTCTGTGTTAAACAATCGCTTATTTGCTTAAACTTTGCAGTGCTATACAGATAATACTTGACAAATATCTGATGATATAACTCGCACATCTTGTGTAGTTTTTGACAAATATCTGATGATATAACTTGCACATCTTGTGTAGTTTTTGACAAATATCTGATGATATAACTCGCACATCTTGTGTAGTTTTTGACAAATATGCCACATGTGGCTGATCTGATTTATAAACACATTGTGCCAAAAGGTTTCTTGAAGCAGTACCACTTGATGATAATCACACTGACCGTATTCAAACAAATTTCTTATCTTAACAACGTCTCTTAAAATATCTTACTTCCAACATTTTCTCTTTGCAAGTTATTATACAACAAGAGGACCATGGCCCTTACATGTCATCTGACAATCGATAAATGGATGGAAAAACCACAGAATCAGCAGATGGTGATCTGACAAATCTGATGAATTCAAATTCTGAACATTACTTAAAAGTATAAGAAACTCATAAATGATATGTTCTGTAGATGAAAAACAGTTTTGCAATCATGTTACAAAATGTTTACTGAGGTTGAAGATTTGATCAGGCTGAAAAGTAACAACATACAATCTCTTTTTTTTTTCCTTAAGAAATCAAACTCCAGATATTCTGTCAATGGTGTGAATGAAAGCCTAAAAACAGGAAATAAGGAGTAAGAGGTACATAAGTACTCCCATCAATTCTGATTTTGTTAAAATCGTTTTTTTCTTGGGCCCCTTTTTTGCATGAAGGGGATGACACCTTTATTTTCTATAACGTTAGAATTCAAAAGCAAAAAGAGTGATTCAAACATGTCACTTTGATTGAATTAAAGCAAACTAGGCAATGCATAAGCTTCCTCTAAGTAAGCTCCAAACACAACTACAACTCTCTACATTTATCTATTATCAAAAATTGCAGTCAAGTATGTATTGGAAGCAAATCTGATTGTGAAAATCATTTTGTCCATGGAAATGTAGTAAGGCCTAAGAACAAAGTCTTTTGGGGGATGGAGGAGGAGGTCTCACTCGTCTGACTCAATCTTTATCAATATAGATAGAGTGCATTTGTCTTTATCACATTCCTTAATATATCTCCACTGTTTGTTTATAATGATTCATGTGGACCAGTCTCCAGGAACTGTGGGCTGATCTTATCGTATATAGTAAAATGTATCTCTTTAGGTAAATATTTTCCACAAAAACTAAAAGTAATGACACACTTTTCATAGAATTTGTGAGGGACCCTGGTTTTCTTTATCAGAGATCATTTTCTAGATATTTATTTTCAATGATTTTATTCTCAAAAATGAAGAGAACTAGAATCCATTAAATCTAAGAAATGTTACAGTATGAATATGATGTAGGACATATTAAAACCAAGGATCCCACTAACATGAGGTGAGTACATGTGTTTGTGGGAGCCTGTGATAGTGTAGAACCATTGATGTTGATTTTACAGTGCTATCATACTGAATGACCTATCAACAGACAAAGTCACTGATTAAAACTTTTCCAACTAATATGAAGTGAGTACATGTGTTTGTAGGATTAGTAAATACAACCATTAAAAAAACTCTGTTATATATGTCTCATCTCGGGGTCAGAACCTAAAACTTTCCTCACAGAGGCAAACACTCAAATAAAGACAAAAATGAGGCAGTGTCAAAGAAGACATTTAGAAAGAAGAAAAAAGATCTTTCTGAAATCTAATTGCCTTTTAAGAATCATGAGACAGCAGATACAATTCTCATGCCCTTCATGCCAGGCAATCCTAAAAGTCAAAGTGCTGTGTGACTGCATTGAGAGACTGGGATATGATATAAGTGGGCATGGGGATACTGACTTTTATAGAGGAATCATGGATTTATTAATATCAAGGTACAGACCGGCATCATGTCTCTAGATTAACATCATGAAAAACTGATGAAATATTATATCTATGAAGGTGTTTGTAATAGTTGGATCATTTTGAAGTGTGGTCCACCATTTGACAATGGATGGCATCTTGGTGTGACTTACTCTTCCAAGCTATGCTCCCAAACTTAAGAAAATCAACTGTATAACAATATCCTGACATACAGTCAACATGTGAGTCTTGTAAACCCAGCACAGGTGGTAACAGATACTGCAGGTTAAAGTATAAATACACTTCACTTTGGTATTTAGAGATATTACTGTTTATAAAGATTTGTTGTAATGTTTTATCATCAGACTCCAGAGTTAGTTACGTATATAACATCACCAGTATACCATACAATGAGATAGAATACTTCCCTGTGAGGTTCTGATGACAACCATTCAAAGGTTTCCATTTGTTTATCAACAGTTTTCACCTACCATGGATCCAGCCAAATAGGAAAACAAGCAGATTCAATGTGTCTTTACAGAATGTATGTAAAGCAGGGGAAATAGAACATCTATAATAAATTGCAATAATAATGTTTAAACACAGCTAGGTAGAAAGATGTTAGTCATGTTGTATTGAAATATTGACAATTGATGTAGAATAAATATACCTCAGTTTTCCTTTCTGTGACCAGCTATAAGATCAAGTGCCTCAGTCATCACTAAGTATATCTGATATGTGTCTACATAAGAATAGACAAAGTTGATTTCCTACACTAATATCTTTCAAGTTTACTTACTTTGTTTTATTCTGTCCTTCTCCAAGAGAAACTGGATTATCTGGTCTAGAATATCTTCTTCAGATTCTTGAATGAATCCTGGACAGCCGAGTTTTATAAAAATCTCCCTCAGTAGATCTTTTAACAAGGTCACTTCCCTGTTATATTGTAATATATTTCAGCCAATCAGATCACAGATATATAAATACAAATATAAGTACCATCCTCTTAAAAATAATATTGATACATTTTACATGAAGCCCTGATCAATACTAGCTGCGACATACCACTCGGCTAGAGAGAACTTCTCTTTAGCTCAATCAGTTGAGCATTAGACTAGTAAGTTAGGGGTCCCTGGTTCGATTCCTAGCAGAGGCATTAAAATAAATAATAATCTCTGTTACACACTGGTAAAAACATTACCTCAGATCCACAGTGATGATTTTCCATCGAGGTTTTAAGAGTCTACAGATGTGACTTGCCAGGGTTGTCTTCCCTAGTCCTCCCATACCACAGATACAAACACCTATAAATCAAAGTAGTTTAACAATAAATCACACAAGAGATCCAAGAAGGATCCCAGCTTCCACCACTGTCTAACCTTCCTTTTATTCTCTTTCATCTGTTCATCTTCTAAATTATATGAAGTTTGAAAATTCCACTTCAGCAATTGTGGCAACAATCTAAAATTATCTAATTCTAGAGTTTGTTCTTCTAATGCAGTCAAAAATCAAAATGGAGCAATAAGAGGCCTAGAGGAAGCTACATATAATATTTAAAAAGATCCATCTTAATGTGCTTCTCGATTTTCAAAAGAAATTGTTTCAATGATTTGACACATTTGTGACTTTAAAAGTGATAACTCCCTAACTATGCATCTTGACCATTGAAATCTATGTCATTAAGAAGAAATCGTTTTTGCCATTGTGACATTAAATGGATATCCTTCTGTAGAAACGCTGTTGCTCATTATTCTTAGTCAATGGATATACAGGAAAGCTGATTTAGGATTAACATATCAATCACATGGCATTTGAAGAACAAAAGTTGATACTGCACCAGCTCCTGTCTCCATAACAATCAGTGTCACTGTGTCACAAAAACATTTTGGAACTTTTCTTCAGTTAAGTAATATTAATAGAATAGCAGTTTTTTATAACCAGTAGAAGATTAGAGTGTGATGCTTCAATGACCACACAGTCACCTTCACTTTATAACACAACCAGTAGATGATTAGAGTGTGATGTTTTAATGACCACACAGTCACCTTTATCTTGTAACACAACCAGTAGAAGATTAGAGTGTGACGCTTCAATGACCACACAGTCACCTTCACTTTATAACACAACCAGTAGATGATTAGAGTGTGATGTTTTAATGACTACACATTCACCTACATCAGATGAATGATCAGTGTGGAGAGTACTAGCACTGATGTGTGTAGTGTAGGAGATGGCAGAGAATCGACCAACTTTTTTGGTTGTACTATGATCCTATGAACACTAAGGTTGAAAATCCTGTGTTGAGATAGTAAACAGATTATAGACCAAAAAATACACATGATGGTAACAATGAACTGTAGTTAAATCGGCTATACTCTGCCACTTGGTCATAGATGTGTGTCAGGGCTTGTATGCTCCACACATTTGTCTGATGACAGTGACCATGTAATCATTGAAACATCATATCTAATCCTCTACTGATTTTGTTATAAGAATTTCTATTTTAGTCACAAAATAAGTTTGTTGAAATGGTGATCTTGGTGTCATCCCTTGAGATAGTCAAAGTGATCAATGCTGGGTAACAGTGAACAACAACAGTCACCAGGATTTAAACTCAATAAGAACAAAGGTTTTCCCCTATGTTGTACACTTAATTCTGTCTTCCTACCTTTGAAGATTCTATTGTCCCCCTCAAACAAATTTCTAATTTCATCGATGTACTTCTTTCTGCCAACAAAGTTTCTATCACTTTGTTCATCCTCCATCTCAGCTTTCCTGTACACCTGCAGATTTTCTTTGAATTGCCGAAGGACTCCAGGCACTGACACTGTCCCAAGGTCTACATGTAACTGTAGCTGTTCCATCACCACAATCAGAAAATCTAACATATCTGTTGGAAGCATATTGTTCTCAAGCCTTTCAAAGTATTCTCTTCCATTTTGAGGCTGATTTCCACCAGCGAGATAGCTTTGTGAATACTGAAGGACACTATTGAAGACATCAGGACTGGAGTCAAACTCTCCAATGAGGTCATGTCTGATAATGTCCCAGGGCTGGACGTCAGTTGTCCTCCCTATAGAGCCTTCACCCTCAACCATTGCCATCCTTTTTTATTAGTTGTATACCTTCAGGTCACCTATAAAAGAACACAACCATTTTTCATTAAACCCTCCCTATACAAGAGGCCCAGAGGGCCTGTATCGCTCATCTGGATCTTTATGACCAACGTTACTATATCTGTGCATATGTTCCAAAGTAGATGCCTAAAGCAATATAACAAATTACTCCATATGGGTTCTGTCCCTTAGTAGTCAGCCTCCTCATCTGTGCAATGTTTCCAGTTAAATATAATTGATAGCTTTCTTTTAAATCAAGGAAAGAAGATGGTCAAACAATATAGCAGAAAAACTCTTAGTTATAGCTAGACAGATCACCCTGGGCAGCAGAAACTTACTTGCCCTTTAGATCATTGTTTACAAACACAGATACAACATATTTGAGACTTGCACAAGTCAACAATATATAGCAACAATTAAATATAAAGACTGGAAAAATTAAGGTACTTGTAATTATAAACCATAATCCTAACTCAAAACCAATAATAAAATGTTTCATGCACATCATTTGTAATGTCACCATGGTAAGTTAAGCCCCGGTTACTGGAGATATACTAATAACAGTTTACTGTAGGCCTATAAACACTGCATAGCAAATGGGATCAACTTAGAATTTCTTATTTATTTATGCTATGATTATGAAGAATTTTAAATCAAAATTAAACTCTTGTAATTGTCTTTCCGGTCATTTTTTCTGTATTTCAATGCTGTGAATAGAACATAAGTAAATGGCTAACATGTAGTTTTTCACATTACTTAGCTCAAGCCTCTCAGACCTCCAGGAGGCTTGGCCTAATCTATTTTTTTGGAACAGTGTGGCATCACTGTGAAAGGTCTTTATAATTTATTCCAAATTATGCCAAGAAAATTCTCAGCCAAATATATTCCTTTAATAAGTCATTGGAAGGTTCTACATATTTGTATATAAGCCTTTGTGAAACTTTTACTGGCCAAATATGATAGCCTGGTCAATCAGAAGTTGTTAATGATTTTACGCAATCTAACCCCAGTGACCTTAGATATTTTTATGGGTCAAGCTATTTTTTCACACACTATGTGGGCACCATAAAGGGAACCTTTTGGGCAAATATTATGATTTTAGGCCATTTGGTTAAGCAGAAGTTGTTCAAAGGTTCAACGCATTTGATCATTGTGATCTTGAGTATGGATCAAGGTTATTTCTTTTTCTATAATCGGGCATCATTGAGAACCTAATTTGGCATAATATCACTATCCTAGATATTTGGTTAATCACAAAAAGTTGTTTAAAGGTTTTCACACATTTGACATCTGTGACCTTGAATATGGGTCAAACTTTCTTGGGCTTCATCAAAGGAACCTTCAAGCCATATATAATGATTCTAGGCCTTCCAGTATATGGGTAGAAATCGTTTAAAGTTTTAACACATCTGCCTCTGTGACCTTGAATATGGGTCAAGGTCATTTCTTTTTGCAAACTTTCTTGGGTTTCATTAAAGGAATGTCCCAGCCAAATACGATAACTCTACCGTTTTCGGTATTTCAGAAGAAGTTGTTTAAATGAAAAGTTGACGGACACAGGACGGATGGATGACAGACAGACGGACAAACGCAAAATGGATGCAACGCTATGGCATAAGCTCACCTGGTCCAAAGGGCTAATAACCAAACACACCTATATCATTACACCTCCCTATATAAACACACCCCTATATAAACACACCACTATATCATTACACCTCCCTATATAAACACACACACCTATATCATTTCACCTCCCTATATAAACACACACCTATATAATTACACCTCCCTATATAAACACACACCCATATCATTACACCTCCCTATATAAACACACACCTCTATATCATTACACCTCCCTATATAAACACACACCTATACACACCTCTATATCATTACACCTCCCTATATAAACACACACCTATATCATTACAACTCTATATCATTACACCTCCCTATATAAACACACACCTATATCATTACACCTTCCTATATAAACACACACCCCTAAATCATTACACTTCCCTATATAAACACACACCTATATAATTACACCTCCCTATATAAACACGCACCTATATCATTACACCTCCCCATATAAACACACAGCCCTTTATCATAACACCTCCCTATATCAACACGCACCTGTATCACTACACCTCCCTATACAAACACACACCTATATCATTACACCTCCCTATATAAACACACACCTATATCATTACACCTCCCTATATAAACACACACCTATATCATTACACCTCCCTATATAAACACACACCTATATCATTACACCTCCCTATATAAACACACACCCCTATATCATTACACCTCCCTATATAAACACACACCTATATCATTACACCTCCCTATATAAACACACACCTATATCATTACAGCTCCCTATATAAACACACCCCTGTATCATTACACCTCCCTATATCAACACTACACCTCCCTATATAAACACACACCTATATCATTACACCTCCCTATATCAACACACACCTATATCACTACACCTCCCTATATAAACACACACCTATATCACTACACCTCCCTATATAATACATCTATATATCTTTACCCCTCCCTATGTAAACACACCCCTATATCATTACACCTCCCTATATAAACACACACACCTATATCATTACACCTCCCTATATAAACACACACCTATATCATTACACCTCCCTATATAAACACACACCTATATCATTACACCTCCCTATATAAACACACACCTATATCATTACAGCTCCCTATATAAACACACCCCTATATCATTACACCTCCCTATATAAACACAAACCTATATCATTACACCTCCCTATATAAACACACACCTATATCATTACACCTCCCTATATAAACACACACCTATATCACTACACCTCCCTATATCAACACACACACCTATATCATTTCACCTCCCTATATAAACACACAACTATTTATCTTTACTCCTCCCTATATAAACACACACACACCTATATCATTTCACCTCCCTATATAAACACACACCTATATAATTACACCTCCCTATATAAACACACACCTATATCATTACACCTCCCCATATAAACACACATCTATATATCTTTACCCCTCCCTATGTAAACACACACCTATATCAATACACCTCCCTTTATAAACACACACACCTATATCATTTCACCTCCCTATATAAACACACAACTCTTTATCTTTACTCCTCCCTATATAAACACACACCTATATCATTACAGCTCCCTATATAAACACACACCTATATCATTACACCTCCCTATATAAACACACACCCCTATATCATTACACCTCCCTATATAAACACACACCCCTATATCAGTACACCTCCCTATATAAACACACACCCCTATATCATTACACCTCCCTATATAAACACACACCCCTATATCATTACATATCCCTATATAAACACACACCCCTGTATCATTATACCTCCCTATATCAACACAAACCAATACGACTACACCTCCCTATATAAACACACACCCCTATATCATTACACCTCCCTATATAAACACACACCCCTATATCATTACACCTCCCTATATAAACACACACCCCTATATCATTACACCTCCCTATATAAACACACACCCCTATATCAGTACACCTCCCTAAATAAACACACACCCCTATATCATTACATATCCCTATTGAGTGTAGACTGATCTTTACACTTAGTACACATGATTAACTTTAGGTATAGATGAGGTTTAGACTACAGGTAAACTTTTTGTGCACTAGAAGATGATGGAGGTATCTCCCCTAGTATGGATAAGCCTAAGGCTACCTGTGATTTTACCTGTGTGATGTCTAAAGTCCTTTCCTGTATACTTATCTAACAGTTGTGTCGATGCCCTTTTTATTCTAATATTAATTCATATACATTTCATAACTCAAAATGAAAAGAAATTGAAAAGCTACAATTTTGCAATTATAATTAATAGTTGCAAAAACATAGACTTAATAGGAACAAAAGATCTGTGATGAATGAAAGCCATACTATTTGGAGAAATTATACAAATTGCAGACAACATTGCTAGGAAATTAATGAATTGAAAGAATTATCTACTTCTTTAGATATATTATTTGTGTTATGGTCAAAAGTTTATATCTAGAAATCGCTGCTTTGTCTTAGTATTCAAATTGGATAATTTTCCAAGTTTGATCATTTTGATAAAATTCATTTATTTCAATACATCTGGAATATAATTCCTATATAACGTTACAGCTACGCATACTGACACATTTATTTCAATACATCTGGAATATAATTCCTATATAACGTTACAGCTACGCATACTGACACTGACCTCTATATTTAATTATCATTATTCTCTTTATTGCCTCCAAAATGAACAAAAGAAATGAAATGTGTTATACATGTTATGACAGAAGTTCTGCTATGGATAAAATTGATAATGACCTTATTCAGTCAAAAAAATTGATATATTTCAATAGGTTTAATTGATGGATTGATAACAACCAGAATATGAAATACATTCGGTAGAACAGACTTTAATTAGTGAAACAACATGTAATTTCATGAGAGATAAATCCAGGTAAAGGAAGTAATAAGCCAATTAATCTGGGTCCCAGCGCCAAAGAAATAAAGCAATAATATTTACTAGTTGAACATTGAATTGTGTGGAGAGAGTGTGACAAATGTAAGAATACACAGTTTAAAAGAAATAGTTATTTAGCATTAATGTAAATTTTCTTTTTTAAATGTTAGATAACTTATATACCAATCTAAATTTCAGATAATTGTCTGTTTTGCCACTGTCAAGAAAATATTAATTGTAAATACTGATACAAGATTGCAGAACAACACCTCACAGGTATATCTAAGTCTTATTTTGTGAAATCAAATGTAATATTTTTATTTATTTGTAAAAGGATTATATAAAACATTCACTCTTACTTATAAGAAGTATGTTTTGAAAAAAGATATTTAGAATTTAAGAGTTTTATGGTCCATTGGATAATTATGAATTTTTTTAATATATATTTATTCAATATATGTAATGATATGCTGCTAAACAGGTAGTGCTGTTACATGAGGCACAAAATGTCTCTACAGTTGTACTGGTAAAATCACAGGTAGCCTTGGGTTGTATAGTCTCTGGGCTGTACACAATGAGGCGACGGGCTCTACCTACTATTTATGGTGTGTTCCCATTTCGCCTTAGTTACATATATTGGTATAAAACAGGTGGAAATGTGCTAAGGCGAAATGAGAATAGGGCTAAGGCAAAGTGGGAATTTAAGAAAAGTGTGGAAAGATAAACAAACCAATTACATGTTGTTTTTACAATAATTCATTCTACAGTTAAATCTTAATTATAATTGACCAAAGGCCACATAGATTTAAGATATACCTGGTATATAATATATAAAATATATATGAAGAAATGAAAATAACTACATTTTGTATTGGAACTTGTACATTTTGATACTAAATCAATTAAATATATCTAAATATATATTGAATTTATTTCTTATTTCTTTTATAATTCAAAGAAGGAACAAATCTTATTCTAAAACCCTAGTTTTTCTAAGAAATGTATGTTTATAAGCAACTTATATTTTTAGTTATATTTTTAGATAGTTTTTCTTGGGGATATATGTATACAAAAATATTCATAGTAGACTTTTACAGACTGAACAGCTTGGAATAACTCCTCATCTCAGCTTACATGTTATATATAAAAGACCTTTAACAGTATGCTAAAGTATCAGTTTCACAATCAACATGGCAGGAGTTATGCTACGTGTAGACAAAATACTGATATTCACTACTGACGAGAACCTAGTACATCTATGCTCTGCTGAGACCGTCTACTGCGATGGAACCTTTTATACAGCCCCACAGATGTTTGACAGTATCTTCACCATCCATGCTTTTGTTGGTACTGTTATGTTTCTGCCTGTGTATTCATTACTGCCAAAGAGAGATACTAACACCTACAACAGATTATTCACGCTTCTGAAAAACATTGCTGTTCGACACAACCTGAACTTCTCACCAAGCACAGTTAGCCTTGATTTGGAATGTCCTTCCCATAATGCCGTCACTCAGACATTTCCAGCAGCAGAACTCAAAGGATACCTATTCCACTACACAAAAGCTATCTGGAAAAAGACGCAAGAATATGGATTTCAGACTGACTACAAGAACCTTCCCCAAGTCCAGAAACTTGTCCGCCGTGCAGTAGCTTTGCCACTTCTTCCACTTCACCAAGTTGAAGATTACTGGCTACATGACCTAGATGATGCCCCACAGAGAGAAGACTGCCTGAAACTCACAGATTAAGTACAGAGAAGTAGAAGAACGTCTAGCAAACCTAAAGGCTGATCTAATGAAGTGGACCAAAGACTTCATCCAGTTTGGAGACGCAGCATCCTACATTCTGAAACTCAGTGACTAGTTATACAGTGTTGTGACATTTTGTTGCATGAAATGTATACTTGTCTGTATCAATATATATTATATATCTGTAATGTTTATTATGTTTGTATTGATGACATTGCAAGAAGAATACTCGTATATAGCTAAATAAACATTATTAAATTAATTACTTGACTTCCTTAAGTTGTATATACAAGGTCCCTTTTCACCTTAGCTGACTTCTTCCTATCTGGTTTTGGCACTAAGGCGAAATGGGAATAATTTTTTACCGTGAAATTGACAGCTAAGGCGAAATTGGAGTAAGCCCTATTTATTGGAGATTTTTCACTCTACCTGTGTGGACCTCAGTGCACTTCTAGTTTACCTGTAGTATTTTTCGTGTGAACTTTAAGTCACCTCATCGTTCACAAGAAGTGAACTAGGGTGTAATGATAAGTCTACACTCAACTATATGGCACTACCTGTAGTACACCACACGATGTCTAAGTCACAAAGACTTTGGAGTTAGCCCAATCTGTAACAAACGTATAGGTTCAATCTTACAAACCTTCGATTTGTAGATGTCCCAAAGAGAGCCATTTCATAGCAGCAGACCCAATACTTCGTCAAAATTAGAAGACATTTTTCGGAAAGTTGAGAAATGAGAGTGTTCTACTTTCGCTTTCTGCTAGTTGTCATCGTCGCTAGCATATGCTGGACACTAATATATACTGCACGACTAATCATGTAAAAATTATCAACATTCCACGTAAGTAACAATGTTTTATGAATAAAACACTCTAATTATATTAGTAAAATCCAACTCTAATTCTTGGAATATTTTCCTATCCTCGCCTTGAACTTTATATTTTTAATTTGTAAACTAGGTTCGGTGCGTTCGACTCCTTACGTTGTGATGTCGGGTCAGGGTTCTGGTATTTAATATCGTATGAAGATGTAAAATCGATAAACGAATCATAAAGACAATTTTTTTCCTACTGGATTCTTATATATTCTGTTTCCAGTATGACAGAAATACAAGTTTATGGAGTCTACAACTTTCGTTTCTGCAAGACGTTCGAAACGAATAGCTCCAATATAAAATAGCGGCCGGTTCGTTACGATAGTTGATACTACACGCTAAATATTTTCATATGTCCTTAACTGCATGTTCTCGGTTATGCGGAGTTTATAGAAATGTCTTATATGTAGTGGACCAATTCTTTATGAAGTACATATCTATACGAATATGATGAACGTTCCATTTTCACATTTTGTTGCATATCGAAAGTGAAAGTAGAATTCGTGTCAACTATATTTTCTTAGTATTTCAAATCAATGCTAAAACCCTTAATAGATGGTTTGTCAATCCAATTTCTGCATGTCCAAACAATATCATCATACACATATACATGTATAAACATCTATACATCAAAACTCGGCACGATAAAACAATACAAACTGAGCATTATTACCTGCAACACTGGCAGGTTTGTAATCTTTATTTCTAAAGCCGCAAGATAAGTTTGATTCACATGAAAAACACATTTAATACATTAATTAGATCCAGGCTGGGTTTACTGGATTACCACAAGCCAAACACAACAAATAAAAAAAATACCGAAACAGATACTACCTCTTCAATTAAGTCACAGACATGCTACATAACATGATGTTATCATTCAAATAATGATTGTCCTTCTATTATACTTTTGTATGTGTACTCAACTGTCCGCCTATCTGTCTTTTTTCTTCTGGTCTTGTACAATGTAAGTTAATTTTCATACAATATCTGAATATTTAGCATGAATTGAATTGAATTGAATTGAATTGAATATCTTTATTTCCTCCAACAAGTGAAGATCAGCAAAAAAAATATATATAGTTGCTCCCATTTCGTTGTTAAAACAATGCAGCCAGGAAGGATTCATTCTGCACTGCTCAAAGTGTCAAATCAAACGAATGCCGCGATGTGTACACAGATTTCGAAATTTCTATACACACGATCCTGGCAGGAGTGTCACCTGCAATCCAGTTATCGTAATTAACCAATTATTGCACTGTCCACATCATCAATCATTCAATGTAAAGTAGTTGATCACACTAACACATGTAAACTTGTAAAACTTACCTGGGAGAACCGACCCTGCATGTCATGGGCGAACCAACTCACCCCCATTACCTGGGCGAATGAACCTGTGCGAAACGACCCAGAGCGAAACGGTAATCTGGGCGAAATGACCCGACACCGGGGGAAAATGTTATATAAACATATAGTAATGAATATTTTTGATAAATGTTATGTTTCATATTTACATCAGTTGACCTTTAAGTTTTTATCCTTTTATCGACCATGATTAGTTTCCAGTGTTCTGAACTTACAGTTAGTCCCATAGTTTCTCCTCCAAGTAGAAATTCTGAAAGTCTCTCATCGTCATTTAGAATATTAACGCTTTGATGAACCGGAGGTAAGATTACCATGAACGTTTGTAGTCAAAACGTCAAAACACACCAGGCAGTCTATTATTAAATGATTCACAATGTCACTGACATCTTTTTACATGAGTCACACACACAACTGGAAATTGATAGTGATCCAAGCTTAACTAGAAATCCAAACTATTGAGTCATGTTAGGTTCCTCCAGAGACGTCTCTGGTTCCTCTAAGCTCAGCGACCAGAGTTTATGTGGCGCGATTGTTATGTTATACTGGTCCGACCAGTAACTATAAACATAACAATCGCGCCACATAAATTAAACAATGGCTCTGTTCACGAATTAACAAATTATCATTAGATTTTGACCTTGACATCTATTGATATTGTTATTACACTTTTTGATCGCCGCCGACATAAATTTGAAACTTTGATTTATGTGTAGGCTACATTTTGTATTGTATTCTTAAAGCTCTATTTATTTTCATGTATGTATTTCTACAGTCAACTTCATTGTTAGCATTGTACCAATGATTTAAGGATTTAAGGTGCAGTATGAGTGATCTCCCTTAAACAGGCAAAATTGCTGGTAATGCAGGCAGCGGCCGATTAAATTATAGCATTCCGAATATTATAAATACCGTAGATAGAAAAAAATAAAAGCACGTGTTGGAGAAATCTTAGTAATTAGTAATCCATACCACAGCCAAGCGAGCCGGTAACACGATCCTTGCATGTATATTTCGAAAACGATTTAGGTCTGCCCGCCTTATTACAAGTTCTTTCCAGTCTCGTTCAGATACATTCAAAATAACATTTCTCACTGTGTATTTCCACGAGAGTTTGCTTGGAAAACATCCATATTTGATAAAACTGTATAGACATTCTTCCAGACCGTATTTATAAAGTGTCGTAACAAATGACCGGAATATTTCTGTACATTCTGTCAATCCAAACATGAGAAATATTGCTATGTTAAAGTTAAGCAACTGTTTATGTATTTTCGAGGTATCAGTTAGACAGTCTTCCAAAAACCAGTAACCGGTGTCTATCTATATAGTGAATCATTCTGTCAATTCCAAGAGTTTCAATTGTGCTATCAGACGGCGAGTTTTTATCTAAACCTTGCAGGATGCGACAACATTTTCTTTGTACAACCTCTATTTTATCTACATTTCTCACTCAGGTCTCACCCCACATCTCACAAGCGTACACACCAGTGGGCAAAATAACGCGTTTCCAAATAACCGTAGACGCTATCGGGTGAATTTCCCCGAACCGAGGACCGATATCCCGCAGCGAGTGGAAAGATTTTTGTAGTTTTCAGCAAGCCCTTTCAATGCATTTATTTTGAGGATTCACATTAGATATAACAGGTCCTGCGTAGATAACACTTTCTTTCATTTTGATTTTACTTTCCCCAATGTCGAATTCTGTGTTACCTTGTTGGTTCCCGTTGTTAAACACGACTACAGCACTTTTCGCGGCATTATATTTTAATTGCCATTTGTAGGCATATGCTCTTGTAGTTTCTAGAAGGGTCTGTAGGCCGGATTTAGTTGATGATATCAAACATGTATCGTCAGCCAACAAAAGACCAGGAATATGTCTGTCTATGAAATTAATTCCACATTTTGTCTCACACAAGTTAGTCATTAATCCAGCAATAGATAATTTGAACATAAACGCGCTGAGAACTTTTCCTTGACCGACCCCACGCGTCACTTCTACGCAGTCGCTAAGTTCACCTTTTAGACGAATACGTACTTTTGTGTTCATATATGAACTAAAAATAACTTTCCATAATTTTCCTCTAATACCAAGTTCATACAATTTATGAAATAATCCATTCAGCCATATCCTGTCGAATGCCTTTTCGTTATCTAGGAAAACGATATAGAGTGGGGATTTCCTTTCAGTAAAGAATGATATAGTTTCTTTTAGCGTGAAAATTGCAGGAATCGAGCCCATTTCTTTTCTGAATCCGAACTGTAATGAATTTGGAAAATTAATTTTTGACTGTATAATCCATTGCTCCATCCTTTCCAACAGAACTTTTTCGAATAGTTTGCTAATTGATGACGTCAGCGTGATTCCTCTAAAGCTTGATGGGTCCGAAGGATTTTCATTCCCTCCTTTGAATACTGGTATCACAATTCCTTCCTTAAACGATTCTGGTACATATTCTGAAGACAATATGAGATTGAAGAGAACGCATAAGGATTTGACGATCTCTTTCCTGCCATATTTTATATGTTCATTGCATATACCGTCAGGCCCTGGGGATTTACCCATTTTTAATTTTGCTAGCTGTAACTGTAGTTCCTTTACCGATATTTCATTTTCAATAGTATTTTGGGAATGAGACGATGTAAGATATTGTAGGATTATTTCATCAACTGCAGGTTTAAAGTTTTCATCAAACACGTCATCCGGATCTGGAGATAAGAGATCACCGTAGTATTGGGCCCATAATGCGCACTTATCCAGGTCATCTGTTGCCACATTCTCCTTGTAAATGAGAGGTTTGTCATTTGGCGTCTTACCACGTTGTTTTCTAACTGTCTTATAGAAATCCTGAATGTCCATGTCTGCGGACTTCAGAATTTCATCCTCTCTTTCCTTTTTCCATTTCTTTTTTGCGAAACGTTTTTGTTTACGAAATTCTCTCTTCTTCCCTCTTTGTATAGTTTGTATGTTGTTGCATCAGATTCTGCCCGCGGTTTCCCCTCGGCTTTCCATTACCGCCTTGCTTGACGCATTGCAATGGTGATCGTTGAATTGACATTTCTTCCAGTATGGGTTCAAATATGTTTTAAATGATCCAACAGGAATGTTCACCGCAGATGCCATCTTCATAACACTTACAACACCTTCAAGATAGCCGTCTATGAGTGCCGAGCTACAACGTGATGCAGAAGACTCTTGGGAGTTTATCTGTAACAATCGGTCGGTTTCCTCTGAATAAAGACTAAGCTGTATTCTAGACGCTTTTTGCCATTTAGGATATCCATCCATATTCCCATTTTCCTTTTTCCTCTTTTTCCATATTCACTATTTTTTAAAATTCAAAATTTCCCGCCTTTATAGTCTACGAGACCTATAAACAGACTTATCGTATACTTCCGCGTAAAAAATAGTACATTGAATAATAGCCTACACGTCGAAAAAAATCTGTGCAAATAAAACATTTTAATACACATCAACAACACTATAATGCATAATACAATATTTAAGTTAAGTTTCTTCTGCAAGAGATAATTTTACAAAATATTTTGAGAAACCGCGGTTGTGTGCATACCGCTAGTACTAGCTGTATAACGGAGAGTCCCAAGCCTCCACGT